ATATACATACAAGTACAATGTAATTAATCTTACTTCTCATCTTTAATTATTTCACACTAGGTTATACATGATAAACAAAGAAATCATATTACACATAAGCTGTTATATCATTATTAAACTTTTTAACTGTGTTTCCCTTTTAGGGGTATACTTATAAACAAAAATCTGGAGAGTGCTGTGGAGAATGTGTAGCTTTGCAGTGTACTATGAAAATAAGTACTGGAACAACTAGCTCAACAAGTGGTACATCCAGTGGCTCGACAAATGGCACATCTAGTGGCTCAACAGGTGGTTCATCCAGTGGCTCAGCAAGTGGGACATCTGGTTCTAGTGGATCGACAAGTGGCACATCCAGTGGCTCAACAAGTGTGACATCTGGTTCTAGTGGTTCAACAAATGGAACATCTAGTGGCTCAACAAGTGGGACATCTAGTGGCTCAACAAGTGGCACAACAAACAGTTCAACAAGTGGATCAATTGATACCTTAACCAACAGCTCAACAAGTGGCTCAACAAATACCTCAACAAATGGTTCAACAAGTGATTCAGCTAATGGTTCATCAAGTGGCTCAACTAATGGTTCATCAAGTGGATCAACTAGTGGTTCATCAAGTGGCTCTTCAAGTGGTTCAACTAGCACCTCAACAACTGGCTCAGACAAAACTACTGTCAACATTCCGGTAGGTATTTAGTTTGTAGAGATCTCATCACTGTTTGCCCAACTATGTTAATATCTAAAAATACCAATACCCAAACAGGATACCTCTTAATCCTATACCAAATTATTAAAAACTCCATACATGGAACATAATTATTAATTTAAGAAACTTTGATATGTAGATAGATATTCTGCAATGTAGGCCACCCTTACAGATGAGCAGATCTAGAAAAGGTTCCTGTAAATCTAACCTGAAACTTCCAATATTTGTCATATTGTTCTAGTTATGCTGACTGCAACAAAGGTACACATGATTTAATTTGTTATTAACACAGGAAAGGAAAAAAAGACAAATAATCTCACTACAATATTAAGATATGAAGGACAATGGCTAAATCTGTATTAATTTCACAGATTGGACAGATTTATTATGTACCAAACAACAGTTGTGTCTACTATGAATGCAATGAAGAAAACGGGGTTCCAGTACTGACCAAAGTACAGAAAGTCTGCCAGAAATTAGACCTGAGCACTTGTGAACTGGTACAGTATCTACTACCTATTACCTATCTAATAACGTTGACTCTTTTACATATTATAACACAGAAATACTGTATAGTAGCAGGGAGAACCAGTACATTGTATAGGCTTGTCAAATTAATCTTTCTTCAGCATATTTTTTACATGAAGACATGTCAAGAACATGACATTAAAGTAAATCTATAGTGAGTTTAAAATGGCTGAAAAAGTTGTGTACATTGAAAACAGAGCCATAGTGTCTTTATTTCACCTTACATAAATTGCAGCATACCCCAGGAAACCCAAGTGTAGGGTGCTCTTTTATACCATTGTTGCCCAACTCTTGTAGTCAGCTCAGGCTCAACCTTTTCTACCTCCTGTAACTCCCTGTTGGTTAGTGAGCCCACCCATTATGGTTATGAGCCAATAGTAAGGCTCAGAAGGGGTATAAAGTTCCCTCAAGCTCCCTATTACTGTAGGTTATGATGATTTGCGTTTTGGCTGAAGGACCTGAGAGTATTTCCAGGCACAGTATTTCCTGTGCAATCACTGTCGAAAAGTTTGGAATTGACTATCAAATAGCAACAGTAAGCAAATAAAGAAACAAGAGATATATTAAACCATACCTCCTAAGTTTCTGAAATAAGAAAGACATACACCTTTTAAATATTGAGGCAAATAACACACCCCTGCCACACTCTCCAGTTAGTCAAATCATGCATGAATTAATATGCAAAAAATGATTTGTTAAACCCACACATGCTTTGTTTTACCCAATACTTTTCCTTTATTTTGGGATTCAAAATAAAAAGCGGTAAAATGGTTGAATGAAAGGTTTGATGTAGCATAAGACTAATGGTAATTTAATAATGCATTCTTATAGTGATCTATGCATCAGACCAAGAAGAAGGACAACTGGGTAAAGAGGGACAGATAAATTTAGCTCCAAAAGGGGGACTGTCCCTCCACATGATGGGCTGTGTTCAGACCAATTAACCAATAATAACAAATATATTGTGTCTTGCAGGGAACTCTAAAATATGATTCTGATGGATGCTGTCAGACCTGTACGCCTAAGAAAGGTAAGGACTTTAATATAACTGAAGATAAGTGGTGGAAAAAAATTAGTAGTGTTGCATGTAGAATCTATTGCAATAAACAGTGAATTCAATTGAATTAGGCAAAAAATTATGTTGCGACTACAAGGCAGCTTGTGCTTCCCTCTGTGATTGAAGATCCTTGTGGCTGTACAGCACTACGTATATATCACATATACAGGGCTCAGAATTTCCAAATTTGGGTCCAACTCCGGCCCGCGAGCCGGTACTATGTGTGTGTGGGGGTTAATAAGGGGCAGTATATTATTTTATATGTGTGGGGGTGTTAATAAGGGGGGAGTATATTATTTTATATGTGTGGTGGTGAATTTTATTATTATATTTGTGTGTGGTGGGGGGGTGTAACGTGAAGTGTATTATTGTGTTTTAAGCTGCCCATACACCTTACCACCATGGTTGTAAGGTCATTAAAATCTCATACAATCTGCCCATCTTGGACAGGCATATTGCTCTTGTGATCATCGCAAGCCCTCCCCACTGAGGGGAGGACTTGCGATGATTGCAGTGCTGAGTGGGCAGTGTGCCCTTCCGCACACCGGCCCATGCGGCATTCGTCTTCCGACCACACCACCAAACCGCCAAAAATCGTACGATTTTCGGCTGGTTTTCCAGCTTGCTCGGAAGATGAAATTTGTGCGACCTTACAGATTATCGTACGATTATCGTACGATCGCGGGATCACCCGCGGTTATCGTACGATAATCGGCAGGTGTATGGGCACCTTTAGTGTATGTGTATATTAAGGCCCCATTCACACCTAAAGTATATTTCAGGTGTGATTAGAGATTGGTTTGGATAGAGTGGAGAAGGCTAAGAACCCCTGTTAGGCATTTTTTTGCTGTTTGTGTACCTACTTGGGTGATTTCTATATCTATTTGTCTTGTGATCATTGCAACTGGAACTTCAAGTCAGGGAAATGTTAAAGCTTTGTGTTCTAGAAGAGGAAGAGAGGAGAAATCTTTTGACAGGAAAACTTGTTCCAGTGATAAATGTCTAAGAGAAAATGTACCTCAAATTAGAGACACTTTACACAACAGGAAGCTCAGAACAATCTCCTGAACATGACACAGATGACAAAAAAAACCCCAAAACTTTGGAAAATAACCATTCTTTTCTCTATCCACAATATAAAATGAAGTTTTTCCTTTAGGTATACTTTAAAGTATATCTAAAGCCAATATATTATTTAATTTTTCATAGAGTAGGGAATGGGTAAAACTCTTGCAAGGTTATTTTTTAAGCTTTGTCCAAATTAAGAGATTTCCCTTCAGTGTTTGTCCTGTAGATACAGCATATATTTTAAGTTATACTTTTTGCATGTCAGTGGAAAGCAAACTATTCATAAAAGGCATACTATGGTGCCACATCTTATCTCATGCACAACCCTATAGGGTACTGGCCTATCAGACTATATACTGTATCTCATCCTGTTAATTGGGAAAGCAATAGTTGATTATAATAGATGCTTGAAACAAATTGTTGTGGTCTGATGAACTAGCATGCTGGTAAAAAAAAAAAAAAAAATCCAGGACGTCAATGCACAAAAAGGCTGCAAAAAAAGAAGGGAGCCTGCATTAGCCTGCATACATCAAGGCTAATAGAAAAGCTCCTATAATGCTGACCTTGATGGTTGCTGATGGTTAACAAATTCATCATTCATTCAGTAAATAGTACAATTTTAAATGAAACAAAACAGGGCACATACTTCCATTCTGGTCTGACTTAAATGATATATTTTTTCTTTAAAGTGGTAAATATCACAACCGTGGTAGAAGACTGCAGCGCTCGTAAGAACGAGACAGTCCTGACAGATGGAGACTGCGTACTCTCTGTGGAACTCACATTCTGCGGTGGACCATGCATGGGATCATCAATGTAAGTCATTAATATATCACACTGATTGTTTTCGTATCTAAAATATCAAAATACACAACAGCCTTACATAGTTACATAGTATTTGAGGTTGAATAAAGACATTAGTCCATCAAGTCCAACCTATTAGGATCTCATTCTAGGAGTACCCGTACCCCTGTATATTACGGTCCCTTAAGAAATCGTCCAAAAGTTTCTTGAACAATTCCACATTATTTGCTGAAATCACCGCCTGTGGCAGTGAGTTCCAGACCCTAACTGATCTTACTGTGAAGAACCCCTTTCGCCCCTTGTGCTGGAATTTTTTTTCCACCAATTTTAGGTGATGGCCTCTAGTTTTTGTAACGGAGTTAATTTTAAACAGTTTATCGCTAATGTTGCTACCACCATTAAACATTTTGTACATGGAAATCATATCCCCCCTTAATCTCCTCACCTCTAATGTGAACATGTTTAAATTTAGTAGCCTCGTCTCGTAGCTCTGGTCCTCCATACCCCTAATTAGTTTGGTTGCCCTTCGCTGGACTTTTTCCAACTCAAGGACATCTTTTCTTAGTACTGGTGACCAGAACTGGACCGCGTACTCCAGATGAGGTCGAACCAATGATCTATAAAGTGGCAAAATTATAGAC